GCTGCAGATACTTGCTACTCATATGCAACCAGTGTTCCCTCTAAGCTGAGTTAGTGTGAGCTAGCTCACAGTTTTTTTAGCCTCTGGCTCTCATACATTTTTCTCTTAGCTCAGGAAGGACTGCTCCAGAGCAAACTAATTTATGCAGTAGCCAAATCGCTCGCTCACAACTTTAATGCCAGTAACTCACAAAGCAGAACTTTTGCTCACAAGACTCCACAGCTTAGAGGGAACATTGTATGCAACTATCCTGTAGTAAAGGAAATCTTCTAAAGGAGAGAGAAAAGTGTGTACTTGTACAGCCCTTCTATTAAGTAGTGGGGTTTGGGACAGAAAGTAATTTGCTGAACTAGCATTGGAGAGCTGAAGATGGATAGATATGGGAAATAAGCATGACAGATCTTTACTAATAACAAGAAAAACATCCCCCCCCCCCAACCAGGCCACTGTTCTTATATCTTCAGAAGCAGATCTTCTTCCTTACATGTTTACAAATTGAAACCCAAACTACATGTGAAAAATAGACCATTCTTCAAATGATAGTCTACCCTGATAGTGTCCAAGATGTGCATGGATAGAGAGGAGGGTGTAATTTAAAATGTCAAGTGGCCATGCAGGCATACCTTCTGGGGAAAAAAACAAAGAACCCTGCGGATAAAACTCAAACATTTAAGGAAGCCAATGTAATACCTCAATCGACGTATCTGTATGCGGCATCTTAATTCCAGTGTCGAGGGTATGACATATCTCTGTTCACAATGGGTTCCCTATCTATTTTAATTTCTAAAGCCAAGCTTTATATGTTGATCTTATCCCTTCATTGACATTAAAGGGGTAGCCCAGGTACACAAGAGCCTCATAAGTACACTGGAACATACATGGGACTCCGGACTGGAGTATGAATCATAATCTTCTGTCTAAGTACGTTCCATAGAGATTACCACCTACTTCCAAATAATATTTTTAGGAACAGGATGTAAAACAGTTTTAAATATTGCCGGAGACATTTCTTCAGATTCAGATTGCCCTGCTACAAAATAATCATACCAGTGTCCTATGCCTGGATGCCTAAGATATGTTTGATAACAACAAGCCAAATCATATATTTGTCAGAGAACATAAAGGTGTTTGCATACGGATCCTGCTTTCTCCGTGACTTTGCCTCTAGCTAAGAAAGTTCGTCTTTTGCCTGACTGCATGAGATTTTGAAAAATGTGTTTATACAGGATTCAGCAAAGAGATCGGGCCCTTTCAGAATGCAAGGAAGCAAAGGAACAGTTGTTGAATTCTCTTTTAATTAAGAGTTATCACTGTGCAGTAAAGGAGAGAGGGGAGTTGCACATGCAAGCCTTGCTAATGAAACACGGAGTCTAATGGATTTGAGGGTTTTATAGGATATCCTGCAATTTGCATGTATTGAAGTCTGAGGAGGATGAGAACTGTGGGTTTGTAACTGCTAATTAGGAACAGTTCTGAAATGTTTGGGCCTGGAGGTAGTGCAGTCATACCTAAACTTTTACTCAGACAGTGTTGTGGTGGGAGAAATCCATTTTGCCCAGGAAGAACCCCACGTCTGGCATATTCAGACGCTTGTGAAGAATTCAGTGGGCTTGTCATCCATTTTCTTCTGTGTGGCAGGCTAATACTTCTCTGACTGTCTACTCTCTCTCCTCCTCCTCCTCCACCTTCTCCCCATGGCGGCGTGAGACACCTCGTCAAAATCAGAGACTGTATCTTGTATTATATTGACCTGTTGTATGCTATACTTACCTGTTGGATTGTGATATATCAATTATTTGCTATTCTTTGTGATTAATGGTTAATTTTATTTGTTAAGTGCCTCATTCCCAGCTTTCTTTCCTTTACGGTGTGAGGCACCTCTGCAGTTCATTTCAGCAGTCATTTGCATGCCGTGGGCTTCAATCATTTTCCCTTTGGAAAAACTTTCATACTTGGGTCCCAAGCATGTGCTTCCCTGTTGGATTTGGCCTTCTGCGGGGTCTAGCTTTTCTATTTCTAGTTGATGGCTGGATATTTTTTTTTTTTTTTTTTAAATACACTTCCTTATTTCTGCTGTGGGCACCATTCCTCTGCTCTTGCCATCTCTTGTGTATAGTTTTAGATTGCGATGCTAAATGCATCCCTCCGGCAGCTTCTGATTTGATGTACTTTTATGTTGTCGTTCAATGTTGGCCTTGCATAAAATAGCACCAATGAAAAATAAGTGTGCTTCCGGTGTGGGGGGGTTACACTCGAAGGGGGTACGTAGCCAAATGAAACAATGGAGACGAATGACAGGATATCCCATCTCATTTGTTGTTGCTGTTCAGTCGTACAGTCGAGTCCAACTCTTTGCAACCCTGTGGACCACCTCACACCAGACCCCCCTGTCTTACATCGTGCTCAATTTCATGTTCGTAGCCTCGACAACATCTCATCCTTTGCCGTCCCCGTCTTCTTTGACCTTCAGTCTTTCCCAGCATCAGGGTCTTCTCCAGTGAGCGCTCCCTTCTCATTTGGTGACCAAAGTATGTGGCTCCTTGTGCACGTACACATGCACATACATGTGCACATGCACATACACAAGAGATGCCAAGAGCAGCACATTTGCCCAGATGTGGCCCATCTCACTACATTTCTATTAATCACTCCTTGTGGAGAGGGTTGGGATTGCAGAGCTGGAGGAGTCACCATTCAAGGCTTCCTTCTGTGATGGCTTTGCAATATAATTAACCCCCTGCCTGCAGAGCTATTTGCCCCAATGGGGAACCTGCACCGCCAATACAAACAGCAACTCCACAGTGGTTAAAGATGGGTTCAAAACTCTGTCTCCACCCCCCCACCCCAGTTCTTATTAATGGAAATGTAAGGAGAGAAGCCATCATCGATGCCTTGCCTAATTTTGCCTTCAGACTGTTGGAACATAAAAATCAATTTGTACAATTTCCCTGTAGCATAGGTGGGTACATTGCTGTTTTGTGTAATGCATGAAGAAACAGGGAGGTGGTAAGAAAGCAAAGACCCAGGGAAACCAGGACCATACAGAGGCTGCCAAAATGTATTTATGCACTTTACACATTGGAGGTAACATTTTGAATCCAGTGATTTGAATGGCATAGTAGAGCCAGAGTAAAGAGTGAGACAGGGGCAGGCTCTAGGGTTGCCAAGCTGAACTTACAAAATAGCAGGGGGAGTCCTATTCCTCCCCAGGAGTCTTCTTGATGTCATTGCATTGGGCACATTGGGGGCGGGGCCACAATCATTCGAGGGTAAACCATAGAGTTTTCCCTCAAATGATAGAGCGTCCCCCAGTAACGTGCCCGACGTGATGACGTCCCCTCCGATTGGCGTCTTCACGTTGCACATTTTAGGAGTGGGGTTCACCCCGGCGGCCCAATTCGGGCCGGCAGGGAACGGGCCTCTCAAGCGGGGGTTTTCCCGCCCTCTAGAACATAAGAACATAAGAGATGCCAATGTTGGATCAGGCCAAAGGCCCATCCAGTCCAACACTCTGTATCACACAGTGGCCAGAAATACCAGTGCCATCAGGAGGTCCACCAGTGGGGCCAGGACATTAGAAGCCATCCCACTGTTGACCCCCCCCCCCAAGCACCAAGATGACAGAGCATCACTTGCCCCAGAGTCCCTATCTATACCTTGTGGCTAATATCCACTGATGGACCTCTGCTCCATAGGGGGACCTTGCAACCCTAGCAAGCTCTAATTCCCACTCTGCTGTGGAACTCACTGGGTAATCACTTCCTGGGTAGCCACGGTCTCATAGCCTAATCTTACGGAGCTGTTATGAAGATGGGAGAACTGTGTACACCATCCTATGCTTCTCTGGGGAAAGAAAGAGGACTAAAAATGTCATGCATCGTATCACCTGTATTCTCCATGAACCTGATAACAATGGGACAATGGTTAATCTCAACTAAATTTTCCTGAAATACATCGAACTTTAGTCGAGACTAAATCCCATGCCTGTGTTTTCAATGAGACTAGGTCTGATTGAAGGTGAAGACAGCCATGCATTCTAAATGTGGCGGAAGTAGTTTGAATCCACATTCTCTGCCCTGAAAACAAATACTTTGTTATTTGGTCAGTGTTGGTTCAAATATATTCTGCCTTATTTTAGGAAGTCTTTCCCCACCCTTTCTTTTATCAGGCAACAGCTAAACCTTTTACAGTGGCCTGCACTTCCTGAACCGGGTCTTCATCTCTTTCTGTGGAATATCTGTTGTGGACAGTGGACATTTACACTTGGAGGAGAGGGAGAGAAAACATATCAGTTCAGTGGTATAGTTGGTGTGGAGCAATGAAACCCCAAGAGAGAAAAGAGGAAATCCCATATTGAAGTTCTGACCATTAGAAGCACACCAGCATTTCACTTTCATCTTTAATCCACGCTATTCACAACTACTTTGTAACTTGTTGATAACTTTCTTCAGAAACTTTTTTGCCCTCAAATGTGACCATGCCTTGTTACTTATACTGTAGCTTTCAGAAGTGACACACTTAATATCGGGGGGGTCCAAACCTGGATATCTACCAGTGGAGATGGAGATCAGGTAAATGTGCACCTGCTCTTCCAGAATGAAGAGAAATGCCCTTTGGTACGTTGCTACTGGGAGGGAGCAGTAGTTAAACAAGTGGAAGGGGAATCAGTATGTTTGATTACTTCTCATGAGACCCAGCATGGCTGCACGGTAATGACTAACAAAGTTGTTGATGGCTGACCAACACCATGTCATCTTGGTAAGAGACTGTAGGCCTCTGGAGACATTTCTGTATCCTTGTGGCTTGGCTCAGATCGCCCAAAGCAATGGCAGAGCCAACAGAAGCTGTGGTCCCATCCATTGAATGACTCCACACAGAGCCACCAAGCACATTTTATTCCCTCAGATGTGGAGAAGGTACTAATAGAAAGTGGTGCTAGAAAATGAAATCAGTAAAAGGGACAAAATGTGACAGTTTCTGTCTTTGTTTTTCTTTCACAGACACTGAACAAGAACAATTTGATACCAGATGACAGGACCAACTTCTACCCTTTGCAGCAGACAAATGTGTACACAACAACCTATTACCCCAGTACGCTGAATAAATATGACTACAGGCCTGAGGCCTCCCCGGGAAGGACCTTTACTAACAGCTGATGATGGACAGAATCTCCAAGAACTGTATGGCTTCCTATATGATTTTTATTTTTTAAAATTGAGTTTATGGACCAAATATTGGCCCAGTCTCTAGATGTAAATATTATACAGTGGGCCTTTTATTTTATCATTTATCAGTGGGCTTACTTTTGAGCAGCACATCTCTTTAAGTTGACCCACTGTTGATGGACTATCCTGCCTAGGAATTTTGAGAGGTCCACAGCTAGAGGTAGCACTTACTGCTATGGATATTTATGGCCGGCAGTTAGCCTTTTTTGGAGGGTGCCAACATTGTCCAGGAACCAACCTCAATGTGCTAAGTTTGTGCGAAATGGTACATGGCTACCCACCACTTCCTCAGAAGTTCAGTGGACATCTATGGACAAAAAATACCACCAATGCTTTGATACACACCCTTCGTCTGCCTACAGATTAATGGGACCATGAACTTTATCCACAAGACAGGCCTTATGGAACATCATGCTAAAAGATTTTGGCTTTCCAGCTTTGGGGTTGATCATTGCATCATCAAACTTTCCAGTGACATGGAGCAATATATGCAACCTATGGTGAAAAAAAGTCCAGTGACATTCGCAAAAGAAGCACTTGAAGCATTTCCAGTCATAATTTGGAGTAAAAAGTAACAAGATATTAATATGGCTTTTCAGTAAAATGAGATATGGCTTTATTCCACTTGGGGGGGGGGGACCAGAGTGCAAAAAGAGCCATGGGATATCCTGTTACGGAGCAAGAAACCGTTCCTCCTGACTTTGATTCTAGTAGCCTCTTAAGGAACTGCGATATTGGTGGCCCTGTTGTCTGTTGACATCACCAGGCTTTTGTGCTAATGCCAATTTTATTTTTTATATATTTTTAATTCACTTGAACAAAAAAAAAAGTTTGAGTTCACAGTATGTCTCTAAAGAATGTCTCCATAATATAGCCTAACCCAGAAATCCTGCTACAGATTCTCCTAGTCAGTGTCTTCCAGCCAGCGCTCCATGAAAATGAAATGTGCACCATCATCAATGGTCAATATTCCACAGTATCTGAGCAAGAAAAAAACCCACAAGTGATTCTGCTACAGTTGTTAACCTGGGGTCTGTAGCATTGTTAAAAAGTCAGTCCAGCCTTGAAATGTAATCCTTTGTATGTGTGTGACTGTGTTAGACCAGTGCAGAAGCCTTGTCTACAGCAAGATGATTGTCTGACACAGCAGGAAGTCTTATCTCTCACCCGTGCTTTAATAGACAATCTCATCCAGTGTGTTTGGCTATATAAGCAAGTTTGCCACTGTCATTCAGCATTCCTTGGTGTGTATGTATATATGTATTTCTAATGAACTCATGGTGCTAAGAGAATGCCACTTTACAGAGCATGTGAAAAAGAGTGTGAGCCAATCCGTGCATGAACGAAGAGCACTGCCAGAGCTTGGGGTTTCTCCTTTGCATCTTCTTTCAGCAGTGACCATCTCTGCAGTTGCTAGCTTGATAGTTCTCTAAGCCATTTTGTTTAAATTTGAGCTTACTGTGTAGCAGCCAGTAACAGGCTCATTGCTTCTGCTGTTTCGAAAACACCTTTTGGGAGAATAGTCTGAGCTGTGGCAGAGACGTAGCGCATCCAAGTTCCTTTGTACAGCAGGGAATGGGAACTGGTAAGCTGTTCTGTTCATGAGCCAAACTGAATGGGAAGAAGACCCAGTGATGACGTCAACAAACACGAGTCATAAAACATTGGTGCCTAAATTATGTCTCATTTCAGTGACTAAAGTAGTCTGGATGCAAGCCTGGGCTAGGTTGTTTTGGAATTAGCTATGCTATCTCCTCATTTATTTTTTAAGCCAACAGTGATTGAGAACTTGTGCTGCTACACGCATCCAAATCCCCCCCCCCACATACACACATAGGGGCATTGTTATGTGTGCTAGAACTTCATCTTGCTGGAGGAAAAAGTGAATACACATGCGCATCTGTTTTCTAATTCTTGCTGCAGTCGCACATCAGAGTTCCCGCTTCCATAAGAAATCATTGGATCAGCGAAACGATGAAGCATTGTTGAGGGTTTCCACTGGTTGCAAAACTAATTAATTGTGCAACAGTTCTCAGAAGCCATGAATAAATGAACTAAGGCCCTGGTCACACGTGCTAAAAAACACGGGGGGGGGGGCATGGCTATTTGCGGCACCGCAATTAGCCGCGCGATAACGCGATCAGACGTGTCGGTGGCAACCTACGGTTCCGGCCCTCAGCGTGTGCGCGGCAACAAAGATGGCTGGAGGGAAAAGCCGCGCTGGCGCGATCACACCAAAAGAGTCCGGAGGCAGCTCGTGGCATACCGTTTACTAGTACCTTTGAGGGGGTATTTTTAATCGTGCATTTTCAGCGGCATGCCACGGGTTGGCCACGGGTGCACTCCACTTGCCAGATGTTGTGGTGTGATCACGCCCGGAAAAAATCCGCCATCCAGTCGTGGCTCTCCCGCGGCAAATTCGCTGCGTGAACGAGGCCTAACTGTTCTATTCATTATTTTTTTCAGTTACTTTTTGCTTATTTTGTTTTTGCCATGCAATAAGGCAGGTTGCTTGACTTTATTTCTCTTTCTTATTATGTAGATTAAAAAAAACAACAGTGCAGTGCCACCAGTCAGTTTAGGAGGGATGTATTAGTCAGGCCAGCCCAATTCTTTCTTACCAGGCACTGAATGGGAAGGATTGTTCTGTTTCAAGAACCAAAACCTGGGTTTGCAGTCACTCTGACAGAGTGACTGCAAACCAAGGTTTTGGTTCTTGAAACAGAACAATATGCAGCAAAGCAAAGGGGGTGTGTGAGAGGATGCATGAAGGTTTACCACTAAACCAGCTTGCACGAGAGTGCAGTTCTCTAAAGCGGAGCCAAGAGCCGACTTACTTTTGCGTGCTCAAATGTATGGCAGGTGAATGACAAGCTTGTATCCCTGGTCTGGTAGGTAGCTCAGTGCTTCGGTTGCCATCTTTCCCATGAATATGGCGGACTGGAATTTCTCTTGCCGGAGCGCTTCAGTGGCTCAGATCAGCTACTCTCTAGGTCATTGGGATGCATTTGGTTGTGGCATCGATGCTGTGCCAGACTTTTCAGAAAGGAAACCAACTGATGTGCTGGTGTTTGATAAAGAGGCAGCATTGCTGTTGGTAGGACATCTGTGTGCAATCGCTACAGTGGGTGACGTCATAAACAAAGGAGACCCGCTTGGAAACCTTCTCCCACTCAGAGAGGCTTTTGGTGGTTGCTTTTTAAAAAGAGAAGTCTTCTGCAATGCGTTATAAGGCTGTTATTGAAACTTGGAGGGGGGTTATATCCAGAAGCGGCAATTGTGCGGCAAAGGGAGAAAGTAGTAACCAGTCTGGTCTGCTGCCAGAACTCCCAGAAACAAGAGAGCCACCAGTCCCTTCTATTAAAAGGCAATGACCTGTATTCCCCATAGGCTTGACATCTTTCCAGCTTTTAAAGCCATAATGCACCTTTCTGTTTCTGAATGGACAGCCGCCTGGTTTCTTTAGAAAGAGTAGATTTTCCTATGTGGGTCGGTTTTTACCTTTCCGTTTATAATCATAATTGTCACATGTTCACGTGACTATGCAAAACTTCCATCTTTGTGTATGTGTCTCTTTTGCTTTTGAATCATTCTCTCGTTACGTGAGGATCATACAGCACGGATGACAAGGAGCCGGCACGGCTGTTGCACTTTCTCTCTTCGCCCTGTGAGCTAGTGATTTCTTACAGGCGTGCATGATCTTTCCCACCCATAAAAACAGCCCTGTCCATTCTAGTGCCAGTCAAAACAGCTCTGTACAAGTATATCTAAGTCAATGGAGCAGCCCATGAAGGCAGGAGGGAGTTGTGTGTGTGTGTTGGGGTCTTAGGAGAAGAAGATCCAGTGACTAGAATGCTTGATGGACTGTTCCTGTTGAATTGACCCGTCCCACTTTCCTTCTGTAGACAAATGAGCCGCACAACATTCCACCTTCCTGCCAAGATTGGAGGCTATTTGTAGTGTGACCATTTAGTTCGGTGTAGGCCCACTGGAGCACAAAAGGCAAGACTAGGTGTGTTATGGTGTAACCAGGTTCAGCTGTGTTTTGCTCCTGTTACTGAGCTGCCAGGACAGCAAACCATGCTGCAGAGGTTTAGTGTATATGTATCCGGAGGATTCATTACTGGCAAACTAGTTTAAAACTATCTTGTCCTTCAACAGTGTGCACTGGGTAAGGGGGTCGTGCCACTGTGAAGAGGAACTTGCATTGCTCTTAATTTATACGTTATACAAGTATACCTACTGCCTTATTATTTTCTTTAGGGAATGAAATAAAAAAATTAGATGAAGACTGGTATAGGAAGAAATGGAATGATTGGAGCACTAGCATCACAAAATCCAGTGTTGTGAGTTTTAAGAATTCGGAGATTAAACTGCTAATAGACCAGGTCATTAGCCATACCAAATGGGGAATTTTCTTACACATGCAAGGTAGAAATGTAATCCCTACAAAATCCTTATAATCGGCTAGTATGTGGGTGTCTGTGAGTATTTGTAATACGCACACGCCACACATGCACAGCAGAATATCTAAGAATTTAGAATAATATAAGCAGCCCTGGGACTTGGGGACAGATGTCAAAGGAGAACGCTGAAGATTTTAACAGTATCCTTGCTTTTTCCTAGATAAATGATTTTGTTGTTGTTGTTGTTTAAATCAAAACGGAGAAGAAAGTTTGACTTTTGTAGCTAGATCTGTTCATCTTCCCCAGCCCACAAAAATCCATTCCTGTTAAGAATGGCAAAGTAAACAATGTTTGTATTTGCTCATATTTTATGAATAAACAGCCCAAGTTGACTTAGTAGATTTGTCCTATTGTTTTTAATTATCAGCATAGCATGTGTGAAAGCAAAAATGAAATTGCAGCTAAGAATAATAAACACACCTGTACTTGGAACCCCTAATTTACATGCCATTGCCTACTTACTGC